GCAAGGAGTTCCACAGGTTAACTATTTGCATTGTGAAGAACAACTGTCTCTTACTAGTTTGAAGCCTGCTACCCATTCCTTTCCTTTGGTGTCCTCTAGTCCTTCTATTATGGGAACTAATGAAGAACTTTTCTCTCCACACCACTCATGATTTTATAGACCTCTATCATATCCCCCCTCAGTCTCCTCTTTTCTAAACTGAAAAGTCCCAGTCTCTTTAGCCTCTCTTCATATGGGATCTGTTCCAAACCCCTGATTATTTTAGTTGCCCTCCCCTCTCCCACCCTCTCTCTTCCCCTCTCCCACCTCCTTTTCCCAGTCTCCCCCAGTTTTGTTCAATAAAGAGAGATTCTATTTTTGACCATACGTTTTCTTTATTTTGTACATCAGGAAGAGGGGCTAGGGAAGGGTAAGTGGAAGGAGGTGAGGGAGGAATGGGGTACGAGCCCCCGATGGGGAGGACTGGGCTGGCTCTGCGTGCTTCTGGGGGTGGAAGCTCTCCTGCAGCCCTCCAATTGCCCCCTCTCCCCAGACGGCAGCCTGTGGCAAGTGCAGCCGGGCAGATGGCCGAGTGCTGTGATGTGCCCAGTGTGGGCACTCAGGGCACTCCAAGACAGGACTGCTTTGCAAGCGGGGCACCCCTGAGAACTGTCTGTCCGGGGTGTGGGTCGGGTCCCTTTAAGCACAGCCCTTGGCTAGCCTGAGGCAGCAGCTCCACGCTCTAAGTCCTCATCTGATGCCCTGCCGACACTGCTTCCGGCCATCCTTAACCCCAGTTCAGGGTCCACTTAATGTGGACATGCTACTTTGAATTAGCAAAACGCTAATTCGAACTAGTTTTTTAGTCTGGATCCGTTAGTTCGAATTAGCTTAGTTCGAATTAACTAATTCGAACTAAGTTCGAATTAGCGCTGTAGTGTAGACGTACCCTCACTGCTGGAGGTGCCAAGCCCCCACAGCATACAGTGACTTCAGGAGCAGTTGTGAGAGCTCAGTACTTCTACATTCAGTCCTCAGGGTGTCAAACTGGACAACCAGCAAATGAAGAACACAAACTTAGTGGCTAAGAGAGAGCCAGAGATATGAAGCCTATCATAAGAGGCACGTTGATAGAACCATGTACGATCATGGTAACCAACCTGTATATTGTGATTGACTGGTCGATTTCAGGGAGAAAAACCAGTCGATCATGAGGTGTTCCAGCCTCCCCGCGCCCCCCCCCCCATTCCCTCTCACCCCCAAGAAGGAGCCTGCGCTGGCATGACAACCTCCTGGGAAAATTGAACTAGTGCCAGCTTGCTGTGGCTGCGCTCCTGATCCGGCATCTCAGGAAGTACGTGCACCGCTCCTCCCCTCCTCAAAACAGCGGGCTTGCTTCCTGAGACACCAGCTCTGGCACAAAGCCGGGGACTTCCTTCCCCACGCTGCCTTCCTGCGCCGGGTGGGGAGGGGAGGAGAAGTCCTGGGGCTGCATGCCAGATCTGACTTCTTAGGAAGCACGCCATCTGTTTTGGGGAGGGGAGGAGCAGCGCGTGTACTTCCTGAGACGCTGGATCTGGTGTGCAGCTGCAGGACCCCCAGGTACCAGCTGAGCTGTCCCGGATCCCTCCCCCTTCCCCCACCAGCATCCTGCCCCTGCCCTGCCCAAGCCCCCACCAGCACCCTGGGCCCTGGCCAGACCCCAACTGGCAACCTGGTCGCTGGCCAGACCCCCACCAGCACCCTGCTCCTACCTCCTGGCCAGATACCCACCAACACTCTACTCCTGCCCCCTCCCTCATGGCCAGACACCTACTCCTAGCTTGCTCCTGAATCATATTTTCCACCCAGATTCTGCACCCCCAGCTCTATCCCACTCACTGGCAGCCCTGTTCCGCACACTGGATCCCTTGTTTTTGGCCCCACCTCAAAGTGTAGAGGGGCCCACAAATTCCACTAACCCTGGAACTCAGAAGAGTTAATCTGGCCTGAGGCCTTGAACCTTGGTCCTACCTACCCTCCCCCCCGCCATGGGGCTACAGTGCCAGAGGAGTGAGGGTCTCAGTTGAAGCCACATCAGTAAGGCTTGGGGGGGGTTGGAGGGGTTGTTTCTTTGTATCTCATTTGTATGGTCCCCAACTGATTTTTCTGTGGGTCAGTGACCTCTGACCCAAAATAGGCTCCCTGCCCCTCCCATAAAGACAGTGCTGAAACATATTGTGTTTGACATAATATTTTATTTAAAAATGAAGCCTGGCCAACAAGGCCCTATCTGACTGCAGCATCATAATATTCCTGCAGCCCCCACACACCCCAACCCTGAGCCCATCATACACCTGAACCCCCTGCCCTAAGCCTCTCACAAATTTCCAACCCTGCACTCCCACATCCCCAGTCTTCTGCTACAACACTCCGGCACCATCCACACACTGAACCCCTTGAACTCCTCATACTCCCAACCCCCCGCCCTGAGCCCCTCATACATCCCAACCCAAACTCCTGCACCCCTACATCCACAAGCCTGCGGCTGGCTCAGCACCTCAACCCTCCACCTCACCCCAACACTCTCTAGCCTGGAGCCCCCTCCCTGAGCCAGCATCCCCTACTCTACCGCCTCCTGCACCCAAATTCCCTCCCAGAACTTGCACCTCTCACTCCTTCCCCACTCGCAGACCCCTCATTCCCACTCTAGAGCCCGCACCTCCTGTCTCAACCCAGTGAGAATGTGTAAGGACTGGGGACAGCAAATGATGGAGAGGAGGGGAATGGAGAGGGTGGGACCTCAAGGAAGAGATAGGGTCTCGGGGAAGGGATGGAGTAGAATAGATCTTGGCTTGCCCTGGCATTTAAAAAGTGATCTTGGGTGTAAAAGGTTTGGAGACCACTGATGTATGAGGTGGTCCATTATGAGAACTGGATCCCTTTCCCTAGTACTCCTTCCTAGACAGTCATTTCCCATTCTGTATGTGCGTAACTGATTGCTACCTCAGTGGAGTCATTTGAATTTGTCCTTATTGAATTCCACCATATTTAAATCAGACCATTTCTCCAGTTTGTCCAGATCATTTTGAATTATGATCCCGCCCTCCAAAGCACTTGGAACCCTCCCAGCTTGGTATCATCCACAAACTTTGAAAGTGTAAAGTTATGAAGTTTCCCATAGGGTACCAGCCTTCTCCTGCTCCCAGGTCTAACTACATTAACTGGCAGCAGAAGAAGGGTGGTATCCTCAAGGGCAATGGCATGAGCAAGGATGGGCAAGCAGGGACATGGGTCCCCAACCAGTCAGTGGGGGGCACAGAACTCCTTTGTGTCCAGGCCAGGGAAAGCAAATTCCTCTGGCCATGGGGCTGTGCGAGGATGGAAGGAGAGCTAAGTTCACCAGCACTGGGGCTGCTTGGGTAGTGGGCAAGAGTCAGTCCACCTGCTGTAGTGGAGAAAGTCAGCTCTTTTGCAGGAGATCATAGACTCACAGAACACTACAACTGGAAGGGACCTCGAGAGGTCATCGAGTCCAGTCCTCTGCTCTCACAGCAGAACCCAATACCATCTAGACCAGTGGTCCCCAACCTTTTGGGGCTGCCGGACACCTGGGGGTGAGGGCCGCACATGCACTGGATGCCCAGGGCACAAGAATGGCTCAAGCTGGCCCTGGTCACTAGGCAGTCGCACATAAATGCCCCGGCGGGCGCCATGGCACCCGCAGGCACCGCATTGGAGACCACTGGTCTAGACCATCCCTGACAGATGTCTATCTAACCTGCTCTTAAATTTCTCCAGAGATGGAGATTACACAACCTCTCTAAGCAATTTATTCCAGTGTTTAACCACCCTGACAGGACGTGTTTCCTAATGTCCAACCCAAGCCTCCCTTGCTGCAATTTAAGCCCATTGCTTCCTGTCCTATCATCAGAGGCCAAGGAGAACAATTTTCTCCCTCCTGCTTTTAACACCCTTTAAACACTTGAAAACCGCTATCATGTCCCCTCTCAGCCTTCTCTTTTCTAAACTAAACAAGCCCAGTTCTTTCAGTCTTCCCTCGTAGGTTATGTTTTCTAGACTTTTAATCATTCTTGTTGCTCTTCTCTGGACCTTCTCCAATTTCTCCACATCTTTCTTGAAATGTGGTACCCAGAACTGGACACAGTACTCCAACTGAGGCCTAATCAGTGCAGAATGGAGCAGAAGAATGACTTCTCATGTCTTGCTCACAACACTCCTGTTAATGGATCCCAGAATCATTTTTGCTTTTTTTGCAACAGTGTCACACTGTTGACTCATATTTAACTCATGGTCCACTATAACCCCTAGATCCCTTTTTGCAGTACTTCTTCCTAGACAGTCGCTTCCCATTCTGTGTGTGTGACTGTTCCTTCCTAAGTGGAGCACTTTGCATTTGTTCTTATTAAACTTCATCCTATTTACCTCAGGCCATTTCTCCAGTTTGTCCAGATCATTTTGAATTATGACCCTGTCCTTCAAAGCACTTGCAACCCCTCCCATCTTCGTATCATCTGCAAACTTAATAATTGTACTCTATGTCATCATCTAAATTGTAGATGAAGATATTGAAAAGAACTGGTCCCAAAACTTACCCGTGAAGAACCCCACTTGTTATGCCCTTTCAGCATGATTGTGAACCACTGATAACTACTCTTTGAGAACAGTTATCCAGCCAGTTATGCACCCACCTTATAGTAGCCCCATCAAGCTTGTATTTCCCTAATTTATTGATAGGAAGATCATGTGAGACTGTATCATAGGCTTTACTAATGTCTAGATATAATACATCCACCGTTTCCCCTTTATCTATGAGACTTGTTATCCTATCAAATAAAGCTATCAGATTGGTTTGACATGATTTATTCTTTACAAATCCATGCTTGCTATTACCTAATCACTGTATTCTCTTCTAGATGTTTGCAGATGAATTCCTTATTTCCTCCCTTATCTTTCCTAGAACAAAAGTTAAGCTGACTTGTCTGTAGTTTCCTGGGTTGTCCTTATTTCCCTTTGTATAGATGGAGCACTCTGCATCAAAGGGGGACTTCATAACCCTATGAAGGGTGACACTGAGGTCCCATGCTGGAACAGAGCCAGTAACAAATGGATTTGTACTCACACGGCCTTAAGGAATTTGGATGACGTTGGACTGGAGAAGATGGAGTGGGATTGTTTGTGAATGGCATGCAAATATTGCTGCCAGCTGGACCATACTTGAAATAAAGGAACCCAGTGTGATTTGAATTGCAGTAAGTAAGTAGTCCAGAATATTTGATACCAAGGCCTGTACTGGCTCCAGCCTGCTTAGGGCCAATCATATCAAGAATCAAAGAGGTTTTCCTTGTGGGAAATTTCCTGCTCTAAGATCTCCTGACCATGCAAAGAATAATCTTTTCCACAGTGCTCAGCCACCCATATCCAGGCCATTAGGGAGCAACTTAGAGTCAGGCGGAGAATCTGGCCTTGATTCTGTGACAATAACTCAGGGGTAGTCTGGAGTTTAAACCAGTCGCTAACACAGGGGTGGGCAAAAGCCTTTCTGGCCTGCAAGGCAGTTTCAGGCCCCACCCCCTAGCTCCTTGCCTGGAGCAAGAGAGGGGCACAACCCTTCAAATTGCTTCTATTTAAAGGGCTCGAGTCTTCCCCGCACCTTGCCTAGCAGCTCCGGGAGAGGCACAATCCCTTTAAATAGAAACAGCTGAAAGGGCTGGGGGTCTCTGGTTCCCTAGCAACATGCTAGAGGCAGGCGAGAACTGAGCCCTCCCAGCTGTTTCTATTTAAAGCGCTCTCCTGTTCCCCTGTTGCGTTGCCTAGCAGCGGTGGGGAAGGCAGCTGCCCTTTATACAGAAACAGCTGAAAGGGCTTGCAGCTGCCCCAGCCTCTAGCATGTTGCTGGACTGCGATCCCTTTCAGCTGTTTCTATTTAAAGGGCTCATGCCTTCCCCAGGACTGCTAGACAACGCATTGCCTAGCAGCCCAGGGAACCAGGAGAGCCCTTTAAATAGAAAGAGCTGAAAGAGATTGTGGTGTAGTGTTTTAGTACCTTGTTGGTTATGATGCTTGGGCTGTGGGAGATGGCCCAGCAGGGGTTATCCTGCCGCTCCCAAGATGGTAGCAAAACCGATTATACAAGTTAAGGGAAGAGAGGGACAAAGGACTTGTCGGTGGGGGGAGAGCCAGTTGCTGTCTGGGAAGCATGGAGAGAACAGGCTAAGCTGGGGGCTGGGGGTGATGAACCCTAACCCTAGGGGCCTGAGCCATCCTGGCCCTGCCCCCAGTAGCCACATCACATATATGCTGTGCTGTATTCTGGAAAATCAATAAACTGGCTGGTGGAGATTATTCTGGCTGCTACAGGGGTGCAGGATCGGGGAAACCCCAACTCACCATCACAGCACTAGAGGCCGGGGGAGCTGCAAACCCTTTCAGCTGTTTCTGTATAAAGGGTTCTCTTGTTCCCTGGGGCTGCTAGGCAAGGGTTGCTTGACAGGCGCAGGGAAGGCAGGAGCCCTTTGTATAGAAGCACTTAAAAGGGCTTGAGTCGGACTCCCTAGCAATAGCATTAGAGGCTGGGGGAGCTGCAAGCCCTTTTAAGTGCTTTTATATAAAGGGCTGGCGCCTTCCCTGTGCCTGTCAGGCAACCTCTTTGCCTAGCAGCTGGGTGAACACAAGAGCCCTTTAAATAGAAACAGCTCAAAGGGATCCTGCATCTCCAGCAATGCAGTAGGGGCACAGGGAGCTGCAAGCCCTTTCAGCTGTTTCTATTTAAAGGGCTCTTGTGTTCACCCAGCTGCTAGGCAAAGAGGTTGCCTGACAGGCACAGGGAAGGCGCCAGCCCTTTATATAAAAGCACTTAAAAGGGCTTGCAGCTCCCCCAGCCTCTCATGAGTTGTTAGCCCTTTCAACTGCTTCTATTTAAAGAGCTCGCCTGCTGGGTGGCTACATTGCCTGGCAGTCACCAGCAGGTGCAAGCCCTTTAAACAGAAACAACTGAAAGGGCTCACAGCTCTCAGTCCCACTGGCCCATTTCCTGGGAGCTGCCTGGGAGGCATGAGCCCTTTCAACTGCTTCTATTCAAATGGCTTGTGCCTGCCGGGCAGCTGCCAGGCAATAAGTTAGAAGTGGGGGGCATGGCTTGATTCTCCTCTCCTTTCACATATGTGGTGGACAATGCTCCAAGTGACCTCCAAATTGAACTTATTGACTTGCAGAGTGATGCCTTGCTTGCGGAGCAATACAAATCAACGCCACTTCTGGAATTTTATGCATTTCTCAATGAACAAAGCTTTCCAAAGATCAAGGCTCATGCTCAAAAGATGCTTGTATTGTTCCGATCAACTTACATCTGCAAGCAGACATTTTCTGTGATGAAATTCATTAAATCTAAGAACAGCTCTTAGATCGCTGATGACCACCTTGCAGTAGTGCTCCACATGGCAACATCAGAAATGACACCTGACTTCACGTCCCATGTTAATGCCCAACAGAGACTTTTTTCTTCACACTGAGTTGCACTTTTTCTTTTACACTTAAATTTAATGCACATAAGTTGCATTAAACTCCGGTGGGCAATAAGTTGTATATGGCTTCTGCCAGTGCTTATTAACCAGTGCCTCTGCAGATATGGCCATTTAAAGCTCCTGTTGGCTGTGGACCACCATTCCTAGCCCATGTGAGCTGTAGGACATGGTGTCCCAATTCACCCACTGCCCATTGGCTAGAGATGGTGCTCCATGGTGAATGGGAGGTTCAAGTGGCTGTACCAATGGAGGTGCATGTAAATAACCGGGGCTAACCCTGGTGAACCGTGTCCACTCCGCGGGTCGGATACTGCCCGTCACTGATGTAACTAAAAGTTTAGTGTTAGTGTTGTTGTTATTACAAATGTTACAAGTGTTCTCAAAATGTTAGTGTTATTATTACCAATTTTACAAGTGTTGCCTTATATGATAACCTTTGGATAATGTTGTATGCAGTTAATTATTATTAAAATGTAATTACTTTGTTGTGTAAAAAACATATTGGCATCTTTTTACAGCACACGGACCGCCCCTTCCGCCTGAGGCCCCGGCCCTTCCGGGTCGGCTGGTAGACACTTCTGAAATTTGTGAAGTGGCCCCCCCTTAAAAAATTATTGACCACCCCTGCGCTAACAGCTACAGGTCATATTTTCACTCCAAATTATAAATTCTACTTTTGTTTGATAGATTAATCAAATATATCACTGATCATGTGTTTTGTTTCTTCAACAGTCTAATGAGAAACTGTATCTCTTTTTATGTCTATAATGTGTCTTGTTCTATTGTAAGCCCTAAAGGATGTGAAATGCTTATACAACCAGAGATGTACAGACTATGTCCACTAGATTAAAAGAATATAAGGGATTTTTTTTTGTTTTCTTTCTTTATGATTATTGCACTATAGAAAGTGCATCACAACGGGGAGAAGAATATTACACAGAACAGAAAGGGACATTCTGGGTAATCTGGTATTGGAAAATATAATCACATAACCAGAGTAAAACATTGAAATATTAAGAAAAATTGCTTACAAATGGGAGTGGAGGATTCCAATTATTAATGTGGGCTAATGCTGACATACAATTTTTTAACTCCGCAACCATGAAAACCCTCAGAGACATATGGAAGAAATTTGTTATACAACATTGCCATCTACAGGAAATCAATGGAAGAGCAGATGAACTAAGCAGAAACCAGAGTGCCCTGACAATCAGTATCCAGGAGAAAAGTGATAGAAAAGTAGCCGTGTTAGTCTGGTGTAGCTGAAACAAAATACAGGACTATGTAGCACTTTAAAGACTAGCAAGATGGTTTATTAGGTGATGAGTTTTCGTGGGCCAGACCCACTTCCTTTGATCTGAAATGAACAAATATGAAAAGGACAAATCACATTGCAGAACAGAAGGGGGATGCGGGGGGGAAGGAAGGTGAATGCCTGTGAGTTAATGATATTAGAGGTGGGGAAGGGTAGATGTCTGTGAGTTAATAGTATTAGAGGTGATAATTGGGGAAGCTATCTTTGTAATGGGTAAGGTAGTTGGGGTCTTTGTTCAGCCCCCTGCGGAGAGTGTCAAATTTTAGCATGAATGCCAGTTCAGAGGATTCCCTTTCAAGTGCAGATGTAAAAGGTCTTTGTAGCAGAATGCAGGTGGTCAAGTCATTGAGAGAGTGTCCTTTCTGGTTAAAATGGCAAGAAACTGTTTTTTCTTTGTGATCTTGTCTGATATCTGTTTTGTGGGCATTAATCCTTTGGCGAAGTGTCTGAGATGTTTGTCCAATGTACATAGCAGACGGACACTTTCGGCACATGATAGCATAGATTATATTTCTGGATGCGCAGGAATATGTGTTCTTGATCTTATAACTCACTTGGTTAGGCCCAATAATGGTGTCAGCAGAGTGAATATGTGGACAAAGCTGGCAGCTGGGTTTGTTGCAAGGGAAAGTACCAGGGTTGGTATTAGTGTGGTATGTCCTGTGGTTGTTGGTAAGAATCATCTTGAGGTTAGGTGGTTGTCTATAGGAGACTATGGGTCTGTCTCCCAGAGCTTCTTGGAGTTTAGTGTCCTGTTCCAGTATAGGCTGTAATTTATTGATCATGTGTTGGACAGGTTTAAGTTGGGAGCTGTAGGTGATGACTAGTGGGGTTCTGTTGTTGGTTTTCTTGGGTCTGTCTTGTAGTAGATGGTTTCTAGGTATTCGTTTGGCTCTTTCAATTTGCTTTTTTATTTCTCCGGGTGGGTAGTTGAGGTTTATAAATGCTTGGTAGAGATCCTGAAGTTTCTGGTCTCTGTCTGTGGGATTAGAGCAGATGCGGTTGTATCGAAGGGCTTGGCTATAGATGATGGATCGTATGGTGTGTGCTGGATGGGAGCTGGAAGCATGTAGGTAACTGTATGAGTCAGTGGGTTTTCTGTAGAGGGTGGTGTCTAATTTTCCATTGTTGATTTGTACTGTGGTGTCCAGGAAATGGATCTCTCGTGTGGAATGGTCCAGGCTGAGGTTAATGGTGGGGTGTAGGTTGTTGAAATCTCTGTGGAATGTCTCCAGTGTTTCTTGGCCATGCGTCCAGATCATAAAGATGTCATCGATGTAGCGTAAGTAGAGAAGGGGTAAAAGGGGACGGGAGTTGCTTTCCAGGAGAAAGATTGCTTTGACGTGGACCCCTGGAACTGAATACATTTACAAAGAAGCTGCAGAATCCAGAAATACTACAAACACTTGGACCAGCTATGTGGAAAGAACCCAGTTCCAGTGTTAACAGGACAAAGAAGAAACTGTAAGATTTCATTTCACAGATTGTATTTCTCTTTCTGTTCTTGAATATAAATGATAAAAACAAGGAGTCCAAATTCAACACTATCAACTTAGGACTATTAAGGATTTCAACTGGTTAACGCATTAAAAAGGCAATTTTCCCTCTCTAGATATTGACATCTCCACACCAAATGCTGTGAATGATCCACTTCCTCCCTGACTTAATTAGCTTCATTATCACAAGCAACTTCTCCTTATATATACTCCTGCATATAAAACTGAAGAAGTGGTTTTTACTCACAAAAGCTTATACCCTAATACATTTGTTAGTCTCTAAGGTGTCACAGGACTCATCATTTTTGTAGATACAGACTAACCCAGGTACACATTTGAGACATAAATAACAAAGTTCTCTTGTGAGTCCACACTTTTTAATGAGACCTCATGTTTTGGATTTTAACTAATGCTACATGCGTGTTCTCCTTTGTAAACTCAAGCAAAGCAGCCTAACAGAGATTTAAACAACTTTCAGCAATTTCTTTTGACATTTTAAACTGGACTCTTCCATACCAAACTATTCAAATCACAGGGACCTATCTCTTAGAAAAGTATTTGAAATAAGACATCCTCACTCCTTACAAAATGAACTGTTAGTGGTATTACAAAACTGATGACTGATGAGCATAAGCAAATGTAATAAGAAACTTTGCTAATTTGTATTATTATATCTTATAGCTGTTGAGCCTTAACCTTACCTATGACAATTGCTAGAAAGACTGCATGAGTGTGTTCAGTACATACCTAGAAAATGTGATGTGCCTAATTTTGACCTATACACTGGATATATATTTATATGTTTTGAATGAATGAATGAATGAATGAATGAACTGTTGATTAACATCACTAAAGTGTCCTGACTTGCGAAATACTGTCCAAAGTAAAATCTGACCTGAAAAGAATCTAGAATTAAAATTCAGCTTTAAAAACTAACTAGCAACTCAGCAAATTCATAAAACTGACCCCATTCAGACTTACAATTGGAAAACACGGTTATATATAAATATAGTATAACCATAGAACATATAAAATTATGTTATTGTCAGCAAGTGACCTGTGTTATCTGGATTTAGAGCTGTATTTGTTAGCTAAAGTTAGAGAATGTATTTAAGTACATTCCAGCAGGCATTTGAAAGAGACCCATGCCTGTCAGATTAAGAGATTCAAAGGTGAAAAGGGACCATTGTGACATAGGGTCTGCTCTCCTGTGCAGCAGAGGTCATACAACATCTCGAAAACAACTCCTAGAGCATACTTTTTAGAATTTTTTTTAAACAATTTTGTGAGGCATTCTTTAACTGTTTAAAAATTTACACCTTATTGCCAGTCTGTACATAAGAACATAAGAATGGCCGTACTGGGTCAGACCAAAAGTCCATCTAGCCCAGTAGCCTGTCTCCCGACAGTGGCCAGCACCAGGTGCCCTGGAGGGGATGGACCAAAGACAATGATCAAGTGATTTGTCTCGTGGCATCTATCTCTAGCATCTGACAAACAGAGGCCAGGGACACCATTCCTACCCCCTCGCTAATAGCCTTTTATGGACCTAACCTCCATGAATTTATCTAGCTTCTCTTTAAACTCTATTATAGTCCTAGCCTTCACAGCCTCCTCTGGCAAGGAGTTCCACAAGTTGACTGTGCACAAGTGCAGAGTCCCAATGATGGGACATCTACTGGGAGACTAGCCATGGCAGTATGGTAATTCTACCCTAGCAAAGTAGCACAGGGATGGGTTCCCTAGGGAGGGGGTGGAATCTCCTTCCCTAGAGGTTTTTAAGTCCCGGCTTGACAAAGCCCTGGCTGGGATGACTGCGTTGGGTCGGTCCTGCATTGAGCAGCGGGTTGGACTCGATGACCTCTTGAGGACTCTGCCCGCCCTAGGATTCTATGATTCTTCCTATGTTCAATATGGGGACTATGCTTTGCTAAAAGAGAGCGTATGTGATGGCCATGAATGTAAGAAAATACAGCTGTGTGGTGCAGATGTTCTGGTTTTTTCCATCTGATTTTTGGTTTTCTTTGAAAAAGTCATCTATTTGCCTTTTTGACCTCCACAACACTGTGTGTGGATGTTTTCAGAGAGCTATCCACGATAACTCCAAGATCTCTTTCCTGATTTGTCATAGCCAAATTAGCCCCCATCATACTATATGTATAGTTGGGGTTATTTTTTCCAATGTGCATTACTTTACACTTATCCACATTAAACTTCATTTGCCATTTTGTTGCCCAATCACTTAGTTTTGTGAGATCTTTTTGAAGTTCTTCACAGTCTGCTTCTGTCTTGACTATCCTGAACAGTTTGGTATCATCCACAAACTTTACTACCTCAGTGCTTGCCCCTTTCTCTAGATCATTTATGAATAAGTTGAACAGGATTGGTCCCAGGATTAACCCTTGAGGGACACCACTAGTTACCCCTCTCCATTCTGAAAATTTACCATTTATTCCTACCTTTTGTTTCCTGTCTTTGAACAAGTTCTCAATCCATGAAAGGACCTTCCCTCTTATCCCATGGCCATGTAATTTACACAAGAGCCTTTGGTGAGGGATCCCCCTTGTCCACATGTTTGTTAACCCCTTCAAAGAACTCTAATAGATTAGTAAGACAGGATTTCCTTGTATTTGTCTAGATTCAGCTTCCAGCCACTGGATCACATTGTCCCTTCTTCTCCCAGGACACGTCCCCTCCCTGCGGTTGGCTCCATTCCACTGCCACTGCTGGGTTCCAGCCTGCAGGGCTTGGACTTCGGTTCAGGCCTGCTGGGGCTCCCCAGCTGCCAAGGCCTTGCTTCTCCCCAACCCGACTGCGAATCCCCGGGGACAGGGCTTGCAAACTGCCTCACTTCAGCCGTGCTCTACCAGGGAGCCACAGACATGGGCTTGCCAGCTACTCCACTTCTGCCGTGCCCTGGGGATGGGGTTTGCTAGCTCCACTTCTGCTGCACTCTGCCTGGGAACCCCGGGAGGGGGCTTTCCGGCTGCCCTGCTTTTGCCGCTGGCTGCCCAGCTGGCCCACCCATCCAGGGCTCCCCAGGGATCGGGCTTACCTGTGTTGCTGCTGCCCTGCTGGCTGGGGCTCCCGGCGAAGAGAAAAATGACCTCTACAAGTTACAAGAGTTAACTAGATATGCCAAAATCTTCTGCCTCCAATCGGTGCTAATGATATGAAATGACAAAAAAAAATCAAATGATATGTATCAGTTTCTGTTGTAAAAAATGAAACAAAATACAGGACTAAAGTAATCCATTGATTTCATGAAACTATTCACGTGCTTACAAGCTAAACATGTTCATAAATGCTTTGCTGGATCAAGATCCGTGCACTCAGCACTTTGCAGCATTGACATCTAAATCTCCATATATCAAAGAGAAGCCCTAGCAGCCAAGCCTGGAGTCTTGCCAGCCACTACATTTGGATCAGGACCTTTGGGGTGATTACATTCAGAGCAGTGTTCCCTCTAAGCCAGGCATGTCCAAAGTCCGGCCCGCGGGCCAATGGTGACTGCAATTCTGAGTTGCATATCACAAAGCTCCACACAGTATGAAGCATCAATGTAATAGTTCTGCTTTCTTTCAAGGACTCGGATGAGATCACAGCTATAATACTGAGTTCAAATCTGTGTCATTCATTACAGAAAAGATATTTAAATATCTGTGGGAGTTCAGAATAAAAGCAATAAATTTGATTGAGAGGTAGAAGGATCAACTGGTGAGGACAGCTAAATCTGCATAGCTTAGACAAATAACAACAAACAGGGTGGGAGGCATGACAAAAGTCAATAAAATATATGTGTAAACATCAAGAAAGGACATGAACCAGGGATAGGACCAGACCCTAGCTTGCCCCTGGATTGTAGGAACATCAAATTGGCTTAAAGCCACCTTTGCTTCCTCTCCAGTCTTGCACTGAGCACTTGTAGTACCCTGGTGGGCCAAGCTTCAGTATCCCCATACATCATCAATAAGTTAAATAAGGATCTACAAGGGGTGGGGAACCTTTTTTGGGTCAGGGGCCATTGATCCACAGAAAAAAAATCAGTCAGGGGCTGAAGCAAAAGCAAAAAAACAAAACAAAACAAAAAAAACACCCACACCCCAAAAGCCTCCAAACCCTTATTGATGTGGCCCCCTCGACTGAGGAGAAAGATGCTTCCTCACATTCTCCTCCGACACTAGAGTCTAGGCGGGGCCTAGCCTAGTAGATTGTGTGTGTGCTCCAGCCCCGTGGTGCAGTGGCGGGAGAAGGGAGCCCTGAGCCACAGGGGCCAGATCTAGGCAAGCCGGGGACTGCATCCAGTTCCCCACCCATGCACTACAGTGAGCAATGCCGCTTCTGGGGGGGGGGGTCTAGTTTATTAAGGGACAGCCTAATGAAAATACAGGCAAACCTTCACCCCAACATCCTAGCTGGGCAAGAGAGTCAGCCTTAGTTTATCCTTTCCAATCCAGGGCCCCCCACTTCCCTCCAATGTGGTTCTCTTGGCTCAGTCCCTTCCCTGAAGTCAGGCCTCTTGCCAGTTGTGTGAGGAGTTTCCTTTGCTGGTGCCAGAGGACTGTGGAGATCTGTCAGTTGCAGCTCAGCACATAGCTCCTAACAGACAAGGCATCCTGAAAGAGCTCTCCGTAGCCCACCACGCACCTCCAGGCCCCTGCTCCTGGTTTATTCTCCCTGTCAGGAACTGTCACAGATAGGCTGGTCCCTGGCAGCCCCCCTTGCTTAGGGTTGCAAACTCTCCTGGACCGGATATCATTGCTGCAAACGACATCCAGTTCGTCTGGTCAGGAGAGTTGGCAACCCTCATTCTTTCTCCAGCTATTGAATGTTTTGCCCACAAAGAAAATTTGCATAAGAAAATCTATAAAATAGCAAAGATAACAGCTTTGGGTAGCTCAAGTTTCTTCACACCTTTTGTACGTACTGTGTTTCCTTAGAGTCTGAGTGAGCAGTTCTGGCTTGAAGTGTCTTCAAAGGAGTGTCACAGAAAACTTCAGCACAAAATGCACCCTGACCTGAAAGAAAACAGGTAAATGAAGCAAAAACTGCCATGACATATTAGCACTATAAGAAATACAGACAAATCAACAGTTGTTTTTTTTTATTTGGGGGGATTTAAAAAGCAAACAATCTGATCAGATTACATCACAGGTATATTGTTCCAGCATACGTAATGAATATTTTAAGAGTACTGTAGATAGTCTTAAACATGCAGGTACGGTAGGGTAATCTAACAGTATATGCTTTCTATTTATCTTCAATAGACAGAAATACTTCTAGATAATGCAATAGGGTGCATGCTTCATAAATCATGAGCATGCACCCAGCAATAACTTTGTTTAAAGGTGCTATTTAGGAGAAAAACAATCTTGGGCAACTGGTATTCACATTCCAGCATCAGTTCCAAATGTAAATAGGACAATCAGGAGATGATAGCCTTACAGTCAGCATATTTATTTTCAATAATCCTTGGAACAATGTTTCCAGAAGATAGCCAAATCTTGCCTTTTTTTTTTTTTAAAAGGGTGACCAGGACAATTCAGAAAATTATATGACTGACTGCCTGACATGGTTTCTTGGTAAAATAACAGAATGGCTGATATGGGACTCAATCAAATAATTACAAGAGGGTAATATAATTAGTGCCAATCAACGTGGGTTTATGGGTAATAGACCCTATCATGCCAAAGGGACATCTTTTTATGATGAGATTACAAATATAATTGATCAAGGTAATGATGTAAATATAATATTCTTAGACATCTGTAAGGCCTTTGACTTGGTACTGCATAACATTTTGATTAAGAAACTAGAACAATACAAAAACAACATGGCATACATTAAAAGGGGTAAAATCCGGCTGTCAGGTCTCTCTGTAACTGTCAATTGACAAACATAATTGAATAGGTATTTTTCATCTAGTGAGGTCCCTAAAGGGACTGGTTCTTGACTCTACTTTATTAAACATTTTCATCAGTGTTCTAGAAGAAAACAAAATCCGCACTGATAAAGTTTGCAGGTGACACAAAGAGTGCAAAATAATGAAGAGGACAAGCCACTGAACCCTGGTCTACACAAGAGAGTTATTTCAAAATAACTCCCCTTATTTCAAAATAAGAAGTGGAGCGTCCACACTACCAAGTCCGTTACTTCAAAATAAGGGGATGGCTATTTTGAAATAATAACTCCTGCTTTCCACCAGGAATAACACTAAGTTCAAAATAGTTATTTTGAAATAGCATGAGCAGTGTTCACTACTGCTATTTCAAAATAACTACTCCCCAGCGTCATTCAGAGTAATTACTTCTCAGTGCTTCCTGGGGCTCTAAATTGAGGTAGTGCGTCCACATTAAGGGAGCCTGTCTCGGGCTAATTCCAAGGCTTCCTTGTAGTGTGGATGCGCTACTTCAAAAGTTGTTTCAGGAGTAGTTATTTCAAAATAATTTCCTAGTACACACATGCCCTGATAGATAGTGATCTGGATTTCCTAGCAGACTTGGCTGAGGCAAACAATATTCGAATCTCGCTGTGGACCTGAGGAGTGGAGCTGGAAAGCACACAATGTGGGTAGCAGGGTAATGGCAGCCCACCTGGAGTTCACAAGTCTGTGCCAGTGACTGGGATCTGCTTACTCCCTGCCCCCATGTTCCATCTCCGTGACAGATAAGATGATTTGGGATACGTGAATACTGGGGGCATCCCCTCTTCTCATTAGACACCCCTTTCCCACCACCTACTGCCCCCAGTGATAGCCGTTGTGTGTAACTGGGCCTAGAGATGCGTCCAAGACTGCAGGAGAACAAGCTTTGGAAAAGACACTTTGAAAAAAAAATCTACTAGCCTATATTTCCCAGGACTTTCAGAATTCAGGGGGCCTCAGTGAGGCTATGTCTAGACTGCAGGCGGATCTTTTGAAAGAGCAATCCGCTTTTTCGAAAGAGAGCACCCAGCGAGTCTTGGATGCTCTCTTTCGAGGAAGCCCTATTTACATTGAAGAATGCCTTCTTTCGAAAGAGGAACTTTCGAAAGAAGGCGTTCTTCCTCGTGAAACGAGGTTTACCGCCATCGAAAGAAAAGCCGCGTTCTTTCGAAATTATTTCGCAAGAACGCGGCTTGAGTCTGGAAGCAGGGGAAGTTTTTTCGGGAAAAGGCTACTTTTCCCGAAAAAACCCCTGAGTCTGGACACAGCCCATAACTGTGAAAGTCACCAAAAGGAAACTACTGTTGTCTTAAAAATAAGTTTTGTTTCCAATGGAGATTAGAGATCATGATTTAACAAACAATATACTCTTTTCTCTATTTCTTGCTTTTCTCTCTCTTCTCCTGTTCTCCAATATTAATCCGGATATTCACGTAGAAAACTGAAGTTAATTTTTACACTCCTCTGTAACTATTTATTAATTTCTGAACAAAGACTGCTAAATTCCTATGCAATTAAAAATAAAAACAAGCACAGAGTGAATCTGAAGTAGGGAGAAGGTAAGGAATTGGATGGAGGAGCAGTAGGTTGGAGTAAATAGCCAATCAGCGCAAGGCAGAGAAAAACTCTGAGGACATTCTAAGGTTTTAACTGGACTGTCCTGAGGGCCACAAATATGCTTTGACTCCTTCTGCTCCTATCCACAGGAGCCCCAGGTTGTGTCTCCTTTGCAGTTCTCTTCCAAGAGCACATGGCAGGAAGGCACCAGCTGGATCCTAGTGGAGATTAATCATGGAATCCTAGAACTGGAAGGGACTTGGGGAGTTCATCAAGTCCAGTCCCCTATCCTCATGGCAGGACCAAGCATAAAGTTTAAACATATTTCTCTTACCATTCATTTCATTGAAATTGTGGCTGTGCAGCTGCGTGAGGGATTGTGCTGACTGATGCTGAATGCTGGATGGGTCATGGGAAGGAGCAGATGATTTTCTGGGAAGCTTCAATACCTTTTCTAGTTGCTCTTCCATTATCCAGTATTTGTGCTTTAACTTTCTTATTTCCTCTTCCAGGGATCGAACATAATCTACAAACACAATAAGAGTGTTCTTGGAAAAGGTATTTTAAATTAAAGCAGAGTGAGTTTCACAGACGATGCAAGGGTCTTTAATCCAACCCCTGCAAGGGGCAGGGTTTGCGTCTATACCATCCAAGATCAATGGCCATCCAGACACCTTCTGAAAACCTCCAGGAAAGGAACTTCGGGGGTGGCTGAGTTAGTCCGTTACAGAAAAAAACCAGCAAGCAAATGGTCTGGTAGCACTTTGTAGACTAACAACACATGTAGCTGGGATCATGAGCTTCCACAACCTCCCTAGGCTCTCTTCCATCGTCCTGCTGTTCTTACTGTTCAGAAGTGTTTTCTGAGATTTAATCTAAATCTACTATGCTCCCACTGCCTCTTGTGGCTAAAGGAGAACAGCCCCCCCTTTTGTACTGCAGCCTTTCAAGTATTTGAAGATCACAATCACATCCCCCCTTTAATACCTCTTTTCCAAACTAAACATGCAGTTCCTTCTGCCTTTGCTCACATGGCTGCATTCCATCCCTTTAATCATCTTTGCCACTCATCTTAGAACATAAGAACGGCCGTACTGGGTCAGACCAAAGGTCCATCTAGCCCAGTATCCTGTCTGCCAACAGTGGCCAGCACCAGGTGCCCCAGAGAGGGTGGACCGAAGAAAATGATCAAGCAATTTGTCTCCTGCCATCCCTCTCCAGCCTCTGACAAACAGAGGCCAGGGACACCATTTCTATCCCCTGGCTAATAGCCTTTTATGGACCTAGCCTCCATGAAATTATCTAGCTTCTCTTTAAACTCTGTTATAGTCCTAGCCTTCACAGCCTCCTCTGGAAAGGAGTTCCACAGGTTGACTACATGCTGTGTGAAGAAGAACTTTCGCTTATTAGTTTTAAACCTGCTACCCATTACACTCATGATTTTATATACCTCTATCATATTCCCCCTCAGTCTCCTCTTTTCTAAACTGCAAAGTCCCAGTCGCTTTAATCTCTCTTCATATGGAACCCATTCCAAACCCCTAATCAGTTTAGTTGCCCTTTTCTGAACCCTTTCCAAGGCCAAAATATCTTTTTTGAGGTGAGAAAACCACATCTGTACACAGTATTCAAGATGTGGGCGTACCATAGTTTTATACAGGGACAGTAAGGTCTTATTTTCTATCCCTTTCTTAATAATTCCTAACATTCTATTTGCCTTTTCGACCACCGCAACACAGTGTGTGGAAGTTTTCAGAGAACTATCCACGATAACTCCAAGATCTCTTTCCTGATTTTTCGTAGCCAAATTAGCCCCCATCATATTGTACGTATAGTTGGGGTTATTTTTCCTGATGTGCATTACTTTACACTTATCCACGTTAAATTTCATTTGCCATTTTGTTGCCCAATCACTCAGTTTGGTGAGATCTTTTTGAAATTCTTCACAGTCTGCTTCTGTCTTGACTATTTTAATCAGTTTAGTATCATCCACAAACTTTACCACCTCACTGCTTACCCCTTTCTCCAGATCATTTATGAATAAGTTGAACAGGACTGGTCCCAGGACCGACCCTTGGGAGACATCACTAGTTACTCCTCTCCAAAATGAAAATTTACCATTTATTCCTACCCTTTGTTTCCTGTCTTTTAACCAGTTCTCAATCCATGAAAGGACCTTCCCTCTTATCCCATGGCCATGTAATTTACACAAGAGCCTTTGGTGAGGGACCTTGTCAAAGGCTTTCTGAACATTTAAGTATACTGTATCTACTGGATCCTCCTTGTCTGCATGTTTGTTAACCCCTTCAAAGAACTCTAATAGATTAAGACATGATTGCCCTTTACAGAAACCATGTTGACTTTTGTCCAACAAATTATGTTCTTCTACATGCCTGACAATTTTATTTCTTTACTATTGTTTCGACTAAATTGCCTGGTACTGAAGTTAGACTTACCGGTCTGTGATTCTTTGTGTCTAATTCAGCACCTGTGCTTCTGTTCTTTCAGGGGGCAATGACAACAGGATAACCAGTGACCCGGCAACTTTTGTAAAGCAAAACTATGTTATTCAAAACAATCACTAGGGAGAGAAAAACAGAATAAGCAGCTCATAAGCAGGTGTAGCTCATGAAGACAACTAGGACTGAAGTACTCCAAGCCCTTTCCACAGGGCTGTCTCTTGGTCAAAGTTGCATGTCAATTCTTGGCTTGAATGCCAGTTACCTGTCTCCTTAGGGCAGGAAGGTTACTTTATACTGTTTCAAAAGTCTTCCACGTTCTTAGGCTTCTTGAAGCAGGCCAAGCCAGAACATGTGATTTCCCCAGGGGATAAAACTGCCAGAGTAGTTACCTGCATTAGGGAGGTGCAAAATTACCTCTCAGTGGTTTTACTCTGTCAGAAGAATCATTTAACTCCCTCTAAGCCAGAAATTCAAACTTTAGCCAGGCCATAAAGATTCACTCAAAATCAGCACAAGATTTTGAAGAGATCCAAGCTACGTCTATACTACATGCTTCTTGCACAAGAAGCCTTTTGCACAAGAGTATTTGCACAAAATCTTCTTGCACAAGAGCATGTCCACACCTCAAAGCACATGCAAGAGTGTGTCCACACTGCATGGATGTTCTTGAGCAAGAAAGCTCTGATGGCTGTTCTGTGAAGGGCGATCAGAGCACCTGTGCTTTTTCCCAGAGGGGTTTTTTGCACAAGAAACGGTGACTCTTTTTTAGGTCTCTTGCTATGTTTTTTAATTTGGGGTATACATTTAAGTTGGGCCTCTATTATGGTGTCTTTAAAAAGTTTCCATGCAGCTTGCAGAGATTTGGCTCTAGTCATTGTGCCTTTTAATTTCCATTTAACTAACCTCCTCATTTTTGTGTAATTCCCCTTTTTGAAATTAAATGCCAGAGTGCTGGACTGCTGAGGTGTTTTTCCCAGCACAGGAATGTTAAATGTTGTTATATTATGGTAACTATTCCCAAGCGGTCCTGTAACGGTTATCTCCTGGACCTGATCCTGCGCTCCACTGAGGACTAAATCGAGAATTGCCTCTCCCCTTGGGGGTTCCTATACCAGCTGCTCCAAGATGCAGTCATTTAAGCCATTAAGATATTTTATCTCTGCTTCTCTTCCTGAGGTGACATGTATCCAGTCAAGATGGGGATAATTTAAATCCCCCATTATTATAGAGTTCTTTATTTTAGTAGCCTCACTAATCTCCCTCAGCATTTCAATGTCAGTATCGCTGTCCTGGTCAGGTGGTCGGTAATATATCCCTACTGCTAATTTCTTATTATTGGGAGCATGAAATTACTATCCCTGGGTCTTTCCATTGTCTCTACTTCCTTGCTATACTCTTGTGATTAAATTGGACACAGCACTCCAGCTGAGGCCTACCCTGTGCTGATTAGCGCAGTAGTTATTGCAGCCTAGCACTGCATCTGCTTGTTTTGCAACATAACACCTTGTTACGCATGTTGAGGTGGTGACCCAATACAACTCTCAGCTCCTTCTCAGCAGTGCTACTGACAAGCCAGTTATTGCCCATTCAGGATTTATGCATTTGATTTTTCTTCCCTAAGTGTAGCACCTGATACTTGTCTTTGTGGAATTTCTTTTTTTTTTTGTCTATAGCCCAATTGTCCCATTTAATTTTAGCTCTGTCCTCCAAAGTGTTGGCAGGCCCCTGAGCTTGGTGTCATCAACAAACTTGATTAACTATGCTGCTGGGGCCTCTCCTGTCATTGTTACTGTGGCAAATGGCCAACATTACTGTGGTGAAACCCATGCTTTTCTTTTTTGTGGTGGGTAAGAGCACTGCTCCCTACCCCACTCTTGAATGTTGTGGGCTCTGATAGAGAAGGGACCAAGAAAGGTCCCAGCCCCTTCAGCTTGTGGGCTGCTTATCCTCTTTCTTCTTGGGTAGGGTTTCCCTCAGTCCTCTGTGCTGAGGGAGTCCCTCTGTTCTGCTTGGACAGGGTTTCCCTTCCCCTGATCCTCTGCTGAATAGCAGCACTCTTCTGAACTCTAGTCAGCTCCGCCCACCCCTCTTCCTGTCTGACTGAAGCGGGGTTTTTTTTAATTAGGTCTCTGATAGAGCCTTAATTAGCTCCAGATGCTCCAATTAACCTGTAGCAACCTTTCCTCAGCCCACAGGGAATAAGGCCTTGATCATCCTAGGGCTAATATCTCTCTCATCTACCACTCCCCTGCTGCTCTCTGGCCTTGCTGTATCACAATGCCCAGGGCTCGACAAATAATATAATCTACTTGCCCGTGGCGAGTAGATTGTAACCCGGAGGAGCCGGGTTTGGGCGATTTGTGCATGCGCAGATCGCCGGACAGCGCAGCTGGTGAGCAGGGCTCGCCACAGTTCGGCAAGCCCTGACAATGCCTACATCCGGGTTAATAATAAATAAGGTTAAACACTGGATCCAGAACAGAACTGTGGAACCCACTTGAGACATCCTTCCAATCCAACATCATTCTGTTCCTCTCTCACTGTCTGCAGTTCTTTAACCAATTATGTATCCACTTAGTAGTAGTTCTGTCAAGCCTGCATTTTTTCAGCTTATCAAAATTTTGTGTGGGACTGTGTGAAAAGCCTTGCTGAAGTCCAAGTATATTGTGTCCATCACAGTCCCCCTATCCACCAAAATCAGTCGCCTGTCAAAGAAGAAATCAGATTGGTTTGGCATGATTTATTCTTGATAAATCATCTCTTAATCCTCCAGGTATTTGCAAACTGAATGATTTATCCATTGCTCTAGTAGCTTCCCAGGTATCGAAGTCAGGCTGACGGCTCTATAGTTCCCTAGCTCCTCCTTTTCCCCACGGCCATAGCCTCCAACAGCTGGAAACAGAAACAGCTGAGCTCTGGCAGCTGCAAACTTATTGTATATAGGAGCATCACCAAAAAGGCTCAAAGGAACTGTCTTCAGCTATGAGCAGGGAAGAATTTATGGCTGTAAAATTATAGCTGAAATGGTTAAATTTTCAGCAAGTTATGAGGTGTGGGCTGCAAACAGAAATAACGGACACATCTTAATAATAGTGGTTGCTACCAGTCCCCCCTGTAATGTAGGGTTAATTCACAACCAATGTATTTTTATGGATTTTCTTTGGAGTGATGAATATTTAAAACATCTCTCTCATGAATAGTGACAAGGAAAAGAAAAATAAGTAAGTGTGATTCTAAAAAGTTTCAAAATATAGAAAGATACTATTCAGTGACAGGATACCATTTTTAAAGAGTATTTTTTCTTGTTTATAACCATTATTTCTATTAAATAAAATAGAATTGGTATTCTCAGGCAAGAGCTGAGACTTAAGGAGAAAGTGAGAACTGGTACACACAACTGCTAGAAATTTCAGCCTGGTTCTCTATATTACCACGAGTCAATATGACCATAGTAGCCTCGGCATCAGTGACAGTTTGCTGGGTGTGCGATATCTTTTCTTTCATGGGGACCAAGGGTGGCATCTGATCACCGAGAGTCTCCATTTCCCTCCTCATTTCTGCAATGGCAGCCCGCAGGCTGGTGTTCTGTTCCTTTAATATTTCGATCTCTGTGGCAGGAACATCTTTTCCAAGAACTCCTTTATCATCACCTAGAAACATCTGAAAAATAAAATAGTGATATCATGTTATCATCAGTGATGGAGATAAACCAAGGTCATGTCTCTTTCCAACACAGCAAATAATAAACGACTCAAGGTTAAAAAGTATTGAGATCATCTGGAAAGAGAAGAGTTGAAAGAGGAAAATAATTTGGCAATTCTGGCTATGTCTACACAACAGCGTTATTTCAGAATCACAGATGTTATTCCTAAATAACATAGTACACGTCTACACACAGACAGTTATATTGACATAATGTGCAAATAATGGAGAGCTGGAGGAGTGCTTACTCCGACTCCTGTACCCTCATTGCATGAGAAGTCAGGGAAGTCAGAGGAAGAGTGCTCTAACTTAAAATAACTGTTGACTAGAATCAGAGGGGTAGCCGTGTTAGTCTGAATCTGCAAAAGCGACGAGGAGTCCTGTGGCACCTTATAGACTAACTGAAGTGTAGGAGCATAAGCTTTCGTGGGCAAAGACCCACTTCGTCAGATGCCTATTTTGACTTAGGCTACGCAATTAGCATACCTTATTTCAAGTTTAGCCCTGCTGTATAGATGTGCCCTCTGAGAGTTACTAGAGAGAAAAGTGCTAGTAGAACTCTGGTCAGATTTATTAAAATGACTAAAAGAAAAGGAAAACTAACAGGAATACGCTTTTCCCTTTTGTATTCAACAGAGTTTTTATTTAAATAGGGTCCTTCTTCAAAATCAGAGATGAGACAGTATTTTGCATAGATGAGGATGGTGTATCTCACAGGCCGAAAGGGAAAAATCACAAATGTAAATTGAATAGACTAGGAAGAGAAAACTAAAATGTAACATGGCAAATATCTCAGTAATAACTACTGCACTCAAGTAACAGTGAGGGAAGACTAAAAGCAGCTGATATAAATGGAGAATCAGGTGAATATCATATAGTTATGCAGTGCCTATGCAGTCTGCAATTTCTCAGAAAGTTGCTGAAGTGACTCTCTAAGAAAGGATACACAGTAACTAGCTTTCCATCATCAGCCTAATTTTGTCTTCTCACCTTACTACATTCTCAAATCAAATTCTTTCCAGCTGAAATTTCTTATGCAGAGACATTTCTGCCAGAGGAGAACATTTTGAGAAAGTATAAAATTAATAAATACAACAAAATGCCTGATTTCATTATGCTACTATATGATGTTTCTATGAAATGTTATGAGAATGTAAAATTTAAGTCTTGAAGTTAAGGAGTGTTTGCGGCTCACTTGTGATGAATGGAAGGTGGTGTGAAGCCAAGGGTTTGTGCTCCATATTGGAAATGTTATGACATTGTGGCATGGCAGTTTAGTAGCTGGGTGTAAACGAGTTGTTGGTACACAAGCAAAGATGAGTAGTGATGTGGTGCTGGTGTTAAGGCAGTTTGTGCAACGTAAAGATATAGATTCTCAGCAGCTAAAAACTGCCATAGATCTCATTTGACTTCAATGGAGCTGATCATTTACACCAGCGGAGGATATGCCCCAAGAACTTAATTTTTAATTTAGATTTCAAGGCTTTCAAATATGTGTTTGTTATTTTAAAAGAGTTAAATTGCTGTAATAATTTTTTATTAATTTACATGTATTTGCAACAATAATTCTATTTTCATATAATTTGTACCTGGGAATATATATAAAGTCTATACTATAGAATTTTCTTGTATCTAAGATTTCTGTATCCTAGCTCTAGAAATCAGTAGACAGGGTTAGTACTTAGAGTATGCTTTAAGACAGTGTTTCTTAAATTTTTTAAGGCTGAGGAACGCCAAACAATTTTTTGTTATGAGTAACACCAAGGAATTTTTGTTGAGAAAAAAAAGGGGGGGGGAGAGAAGGGTTGAGGGGGAAGTTATTGAATTTTCTGTTGACCTCCCGCCCCACCCAAAAAAAAGGTCACCCGCCCCTTTAGGGCGGGCCATTTTCATTCTGTTGTTCTCCGTGGCACACCTCCGACTGCCTCGTGGCACACCAGCGTGCTGCGGAACACAGTTTAAGAAACACTGCTTTAAGACATACAGAGTTCTTCATGTTTTATTCCAGGAGGCCCCTATTTTCCTGGTTAACCACTGGTGATTGGACAGTAGGGTGGCACCGCAACACATTCCTCACTTTCATCCTTCAGAATGGCTTGCTCTGAATTCTGTTCTGCCAAAATCTCATTGGGGCAAAGTAACAGATATTAGCAAAGTCACAAATCTCCTGCCCAGCTGCAAGAAGGTTTTCAGATTTCTCAGTGATGTGCAAATATATCTCAAGGATTTAAACCTAAAGCAGAGATCAGTACGCTAGATGGCAGAGATGTTAAAAGTTACACCAACAGCCTGAAAGTAGTGTTTAGGGCAGGGGTGGGCAAAAGGGCCTCTGTAGCCCAGATCCGGCCCGCCGAGCAGGTTGATCTGGCTCATGAAAGCCCTGCCACTGCCCCGCCCCCAGGCCAATCAGGGTCTGGGGGCAAAGGGGAAGCACATGAGGTTTCATCTGCCCTGCCCCCACTCTGCAAGGAGTTTGTGGCGCTTAGAAGCACCATGTGCTCCTGGCAGGGCGGGAAGACACTTTGTGTTCTTCCCTCCCCTGTGGCCAAGCCCTGATCAGCCTGGGGGCAGAAGGGGGAGCGCGTAAAGTCTCCTCCCACCACCGGGGGGGGGGAGACTTCACTCACTCCCCCACCACCAGACCAATCATGGTCTGTGGCTGGGGAAGCAGACAAGTGTCCTGGCCCTGCCCCTTCGGGTGTGACCCAGGGCCATTTCAAAAATTTCTGAAATGGCTCCCGGTAAAAAATTATTGTCCATCCTGGTCTAGACATAAAGGATTTCTTAGCTTTATGTCTGCATTAGTGACACTAACTCCACAAAGGAAGACTAGATGGACAGAAGGCTGACAATTTGAAGCCATGAGATAGGGAAGTATCCTGACACTGTCCCTTATGCCTGAGGCCCCGTCCTCTCCGGTGCGGCCCAGGGCCATTTAAAAAATGTCTGAAGTGGGCCCCAATAAAAAATTACTTGCCCACCCCTGATTTAGGGATACCATTATGCTTGGGTTATACTTTCCTGTTATACTGCACTGCAGTTCTCACCAAAATATGAAATGTGACAATCCAAAATGAATGCCCAATTAATGCCAACAGCCTGCACTTCCCCCCCACTTGCTGCCTCTGTATCAGAAGCAGCGGGGGGGGGGGGGGGGGGAGCAGGAGCCAATGCCTGTGAGGAGCTGGATTTAAAAGCAGGCTCCCCACACTCACTGGATCCACCTGCCCTATCCACCCTTGCCCTGCTGCCTCAGAGAGACAGCATCGCAGAGGGTCAGGGGGGCAGGCAGGAGCCAATACGCATGGGTAGCTAGCCTTCAAGCAGGCTCTCCATGTGTCCTGACTCCACAGACCTGCCTACCCCTCCCTTGCTGCCTCCTGCAGAGGCAGCAAGGGGGGACCATCAGGAGCCGTACTGGGGGGAGCTGGCTTAAAAGCCAGCCCACCCCAGCACCAGCACTGTGGTGCCTCCCCCCACACTGCTGCCTATATCAGAGGCAGCAGAGCAGGGGAGGCTGCTGCAAAACAACCTCTGTCCACAGTGGCCCAGGCTTGCCGCGGACAGAGGTTGGTCTGCGGCAGCAGCCCCTGTCCACGGGGGCAGGGAGTCTGAGTTTCCCACAGGCAGAGGCTTCTCTGCATCCCATAGAGCAATCTCTGTCCATGGCAAACCTGTGACTGCCTTGGACAGAAATGTGTCTGCGGCAGCAGCCCCCTTCCCCCGGGCAACTCACT